GTTGTGGTTCGCCGGCAGTCGGTGCGGATGGCAGTGGATTCGGACAGTGAGGAAGAAAGGAAACCAGTCAGGGAATCTGGAGAGGACTTGGATGAAGGTCCTGCGTCCAATGCAGGGATGGGGCCAGGACCATCTGGGAGTGGGGTGTTGCCTTCAGACCTTTCAGAGTCTGGCAGCAGAGAAGCAGAGGACCCAGGGGAGCCTGTTCCCAGTGCACGTGTGTGCGCAGAGCTGGTAGAAGGAGAGAGCAGCTGAAGGAACGGGCAACTCGGGAGTAAGGCTGGGAGGTGATTGTCCCTCCCATAAGGGATAAAAGTCAGACCTCAATGACGAACACTTTGCAGGAAGCAAAGTAGTTCGATAGATTCCAAGTCCTCCTTGAAGCTCTGGTTATTTTTTTCTGATATTTCGGTTGGTTTCTGTTATAATTGGATACTTCTGTTTTTGGCAACATTCCATAGCACTGAAAGGCATGTGCTTATCTTGGGGAACTGTTTATAATTGGTTCTGGCTGGGGATGAAAGTAATTCCCAGCATTGTAATAAAATAGGTTTTGCTTTGAAAACAAGTTTGTGTTTAATTCCATTTGACAAAGCCTGAGTCAGAACAACCCCGTGGATGCTGTCACTTTTTTTCAAGGCCGTTAACTTGTAACCCTGAACCGTTGTTAAAAGAATGGTTGTAAGTTGAGAACTACCTGTCCTGTTGTGACTTCTCACAATCTGGGCTCTACCAGAGGGAGAATAATGGTTCAATTGCTCTGTTACCAGGTCTTAAGGTGGAAATCACTCACTGTGGACAGATGAAAAGAAAATACCGAGTATGCAACGTTACGAGAAGACCAGCAAGTCACCAAACGTAATCTTGACATTTTGTTTTTGTCTTTTGCGGTTCTCTAAAAATAACCATTATACATAACGTGTTCCATATTCACTGCCTGGGATCCAGTGCACAATGTGTGGGATTTAGGTGGCACGCTCCTCCTCCCCGCTCTCCCACCAGTCTATGGAACAATTGTCTTCCATGAAACTGGTCATTCCCTGATGCCAAAATGGTTGGGGACCGCTGCTCTAAACTATACTATGAGGTGACTTGTAAAAAAATGCTAAATTGTGTTTGTTTTCCCCCCCTTCTCTCCTTCACCTTGTTATTCTGCAGATTTCCTCTTCAGCAGGAGAGTGGCCAGACTGTTGAATGCACTGTAGCTCAATATTTTAAGGACAGGCACAAATTGGTGTTACGCTACCCTCACCTCCCATGTTTACAAGTTGGACAGGAGCAGAAACACACGTACCTTCCCTTAGAGGTAACCTTGTTCCTATTGAGGCATTTCTTTCCCCTTGTCTATTTTTCCTTATTTTGATTGTAAGGCATGGCTGTTGTCATGATTTGGCATGGTTTTTTTCCCCCTCTACCAGGCTGCCATATTTTCCTGTCTTAAAGGGGGAGTAGCAGAGACATAGACAGGTTTATAAAACACGGCCTTTCCGATATGTATTCAAGATGGACAGTGACTATATGTATGGGTGTGTATGTATGCAGGGGTGGGTTTCTACTGGTTCTGTCCACCTCTGTAGAACCGGTAGCTCTGAAGAGCAGCAGCCATAGAACCAGTTCTTTGTCTGCTGATGTTTTTGTCTACCCACCCACCCGGGCTCTTACCTGATCTTTATTTCCTGATTTTTTTCAACTTCAGCTGCCGTGCGAGGCACAGCTGCCGTTTAAAAAGCAGGAAAAAAGGGCTTTTTCAAAGGCTGCTTCCCTGCACGCAGCGTGCTGATGACGATTTACAGGCGCGTGCCGGCAGCGTGCAGGGAAGCACATCGTAAATCACCGAACTTCGTAAATCACCGAACTGGTAGTTAACCCTGTCGGATCCCACCCCTGTATGTATGTATGTATGTATGTATGTGTATAGCAGATGTATATGTGTTTTATGCTTGGATACATTTTTGAGAGCAGGCAACGGAATTTCATTCTTAATGTGTGCCAGTGTGTCCATAGTAAAAAAATGACAATAAAGGTTATCTTATCAGTGAAAAGTCACCCTATGTTTCTGAAGTTGTTTAACGGGAAATAAAAATTGTTCTTCCTGAAGCAAAACCAAAAGATGTGACTGTCAATTACTGGTCTTGTTTGTGTGTGTGTGTGTGTGAGAGAGAAAAAGTGCATAGTTTGGGTACTTTGAGGAAAATTGTAATGGCTCAGAGAAATATTCAATTGATATATGACTAGCCCTGTTTGATGCTACATAGTATCTGATCAACCCCTCAAGATGATATTGCAGACAATCCTTCACTTATGACTGGCCACTTAGCAATCATTTGAAGTTACGACAGTCCCCCCCCCCCCCAAAAAAAAAAGGTTCTTAGGACCAGGAATCAATGTTTTGATGTCACTGCCCCTCCCCCCCAGCCTCCTGTGGTCATGTGATCACATTTTAGATATTCAGCAACCAATTTGCATTCTTGGTCATGTGACCACAATTTATAACTTTTGTTTTTGCTGGAAACTAGCGTTGCTTCCAGTTCCCAGCTAAAAACACAAGTCGGGGACAGTGGATTCACTTCACAACTATGTGGCTCGCTTCATGTTTGATGTAAAGAAAAGGGGTGTGTGTGTGTTTAAAATCAGATTGGTCACATAATGACTCACTTAATGACGATCATGACTCGTGACTAATTCTGGACTCAATTATGGTCATAAGGTCATATAGGTCACCTGTATAGGGCAGCCCAGGAAGCATCATGCTGTATATATAACTTTTTTTCCCCACATACTTTGACAGTAACCTTTTGGCTGTGTTGTTTTAGGTATGCAATATAGTTGCAGGACAGAGATGTATTAAGAAGCTGACAGACAATCAAACTTCTACTATGATTAGAGCCACGGCGAGATCAGCCCCAGATCGTCAGGAAGAGATCAGCAAATTGGTGAGCATCAACCCTACAAGGTGGACCGGACTAGGAAACGGAGACGATGTAGACCTAGAGCCAGGGTTGGGCTGCTGGGGTTTGGCAGGGGTTCAGGAGAGCCCCAGCTAAGATTCTGTGCAGTTTGGAGAACCCCCCCCCCCCAAATCCCACTCCTGGCCCCGCCCACTCCTCCCCTCCCCTCCCAGGAGTCCCCACATGGCCCATTTTGGATGCAGGCAAATGCAGGGCGTGCACGGAGACTCGGGGAGGGTGAAAAACGGGGCCTCCTAGAAGTTCGGGAAGGGTGGAAATGGGCCTGTTTCCGGCTTCCAGAGAGCCTCCGGAGGCCGTTTTCGCCCTCCCGGAGGCTCAAAAAAAGCCTCTGGAGCCCTGGGAGGGCAAAAACGTCCCCCCTCCCACTGTGGGGCAGGAGGCTGACTAGGCCATGCCGGGCCCACCCAGCAACTGGGCAGAGAACCTTTTTCTGCAATTTTTGAAGCCCACCCTTGCCTAACGCTACAGGAACAGAGCTAGTCTGAATGTTCTTCCCTCTTTTCTCCCCAGGAGGATTAAGGGGTGGGGAACTGTCTGAGATGTTTTTGTAAGCTACTTTCTTGGCCTGGGTTCAAATCTTGTTTACCTGCTCGTTGCCTTGGTAGTGGAGCTTCCCTCTCTCCCTCAAGACCGTCCTCTGTACTCCCTGCGGTGGCTCCCTTCTGTCCCTTATTGGAACAGTAGGAAGGAGACCAACGGGCACTGGTGTATGTTCCATGACTGAAGGAACGTCACAAAATGTCACCCCGTAGTTCCACTCCCAGAGGTCAGTTTTTCAAAGAAGACATTTCAGCCAGGAACAAGGGAGAAAATCATGGGATTGGGAGGCTGAAGATTAGAGAGAAAAACCAAGACAGTGTTGTTGCAGGCATAGAACATAGAATAACAGAAATGGAAAGGTCCTTGGAGGTTTTTTAGTCCAACCCCCCTGCTCGACGGGGAGACCCTGTACCATTTCACACAAATGGGTGTCCGATCTCTTCTTTAAAACTTCCAGTGCTGAACCCCCTACAACTTCTGAAGGCAAGCTGTTCCACCGACTAATTGTTCTATCCCTCAGGAAATTTCTGCTTAATTCCAGGTTGCTTCTCTCCTTGATTAGTTTCCACCCGTTGCTTCTTGTCCTGCCCTCAGGTGCTTTGGAAAACAGGTTGAAAACACCCTCCCCATATATTGGAGCCCCTCAAATATGGGAAGACTGCTATCATGTCCTTCCCAGTCCTTCTTCTCATTAGACTTAGATGTACCCAATTCCTGCAACTGTTTTTCATATGTTTTAGCCTCCAGGCCCCTAATCATACTTGTTGCTCTTCTCTGCATTCTTTCCAGAATCTCAACATTTTTTTAATATCATGATGACCAGAACTGGATGCAGGTTGTTGCATAGACTACCTTCTTCAGGCTTAAAAAAAACATTGAAGAGTTCAGAATTCCATTGCAACTAAAACAACCCTATATCAATTTACTTTTGACGCGTGTTTGTATGAAATATATATATATTTTCCTCTCCTAGATGCGAAGCGCAAGTTTTAATACTGACCCGTTCGTTCGTGAGTTTGGAATCATGGTCAAAGATGAAATGACGGATGTCACGGGGAGGGTGTTACAGCCACCTTCGATTCTCTACGGAGGCCGGGTACGTGTGTCATCGGGGCTCCAAATTCTCATTTGGCCCATTGGTCGTGGCTCAGAGTAAGAGTTGGGATGACAGTTTCCTGTGATTTCAGATGGGCCTTGTAGTGTTGACATCGCTGGTTTGCAGATGTTCTGGGGTTAAATGCTCTGTATAAAAATGTGCAGTTCCCCTAGCCAGGAATTGTCTCCCAGAGAAGCGTGTCAGGATTCCAGCAATCGCCCTAATGAAATCATGATTCTCGAGCCAAACTTCAAAAAACTTCAAAGGATTCATTAAAGGCGACATACTTGCACTGCCCTGTATGAAGTCAACTTTGGTATACGTAATTTACAGTCACCTGTGACTAGTGGTGGGATTCAGAATTTTTTACTACTGGCTCTGTGGGCATGGCTTGGTGGGTGTGGCAGGGGAAGGATACTGCAAAATCCCCATTCCCTCCCCACCCCACTAACCTGCTTTTCAGCTCCGTTCTCCACTGCAGGGCAACAAAAGAAGACCCAGCTGATCAGCTGGGACTCGGGAGGCAGAGAATAGATGGTGGTGGGGCCAGGCAAAGGTGGAATTTGCCGGTTCTCCGAACTACTCAAGATTTCCTCTACTGGTTCTCCAGAACTGGTCAGAACCTGCTGAATACCACCTCTGCCTGTGACCCTGTTTCCCCCCCGTCCCCCCGGGTAGCTCATAAACCAGATTCTCCAATTCAGCATGTTCACAGGCTGGGTATCATCAATCACATTCTCCAATTAAATAGATTCGTGGGCAAAAACTCTGGTATTTTAGTTACAATCTTTTAAAGAGAAGAGTTGGAATGTGCTTTCGCTTTCAACTGCTCTTCCAGATTTCCTTCCACCTTTTTTTTAATGGCAACTACTAAAACAGGCCCAGGAATGTTTTATGAGCTGACATAGCCCTTAATAAGGGGAGCCTGTCTGTCTCCCGGGAATGTCCTACGGGGACCAGACCAACGGAAATGAACGTGCAGCCATGTTGGGTGTCGGGAGAAGGCACCGAGAGACACAGTTGTGCACTCGCACCTCCTCCTGCTCCAACTTTCCACTGTGTGCACGTTTTGCACTAAGGTGCAGTTTGTTGCTTGGTCTGTGCTCCATTGCACAGGTAGTCCTTGACTGACGGCCACAATTGAGCCCCAAATTTCCGTCGCTGAGTGAAATAGTTGTTAAGCGAGTTCGTTTCCCCCTTTTATGGCCTTTTTTTTTGCCACCGTTGCTAAGTGAACCGCTGCGGTTGTTAAAAGTGAGTAACACGGTTGTTAAGGGAATCTGGCTTCCCCATTGCTTGTCATAAGGTCGCAAAAGGTGATCCCATGACCCCATGAACCGGTTTGCCAAGAGTCTGAATTCCAATCACGTGACCGTGGGGATGCTGCGACGGTCGTAAGTGTGAGGAAACAATCCTAAGTGCCGTTGTAACTTTGAACGGTCACTAAAAATGAACGGCTGCATGTTGAAGACTACCTGTACGTCTGACCAAGGAGAGCTTTGATACCACGAGCCATGGATGTGGGCTGGTCTACGGACACTCTTTATTTTTCCCCTTAGCATCCAGGGGGTTTGACATCCAAAGGCAGATGTGTTTTGAAATTGTTGCACTGTAAAGCTTTATTTTGGCTCTGGGAAATCATTCCACTTCTTTTCTTTTTCTTCCCCCCTCTCTCTAGAACAAAGCAATTGCGACCCCAGTGCAGGGGGTCTGGGATATGAGGAATAAACAGTTTCATACTGGAATTGAAATCAAGGTCTGGGCCATTGCGTGTTTCGCGCCCCAACGCCAGTGCACTGAAGTCCATCTAAAGTGAGTCTGCGGTTGAGTGGTGCCTTGCTCACGTCTTCTTCCAGTTTTCCCAGCCTTTGTTCTGCTGTGGTCACCCGGTGTTTTTGCCGAGCTGTTTTCTGTGCCCCTTTGCAATAACTATAGTATTTAGAATAAAATAACAGAGTTGGAAGGGACCTTGGAGGTCTTCTAGCCCAATGTCCCCTGATCAGGCAGGAAACCCTATACAATTTCAGACAAATGGCTGTCCAATCTCTTCTTAAACCTGAGGTCTTCAAACTTGACAGCTTTAAAACTTGTGGACTTCAACTCCCAGAATTCCTCCTCCAGTCCATGTTAGCTCAGGAATTCTGGGAGTTGAAGTCCACAAGTCTTAAACTTGCCAAGTTTGAAGAGCCTTGTCTTAAACGCTTCAGGTGTTGGAGCATTCACAACCTCTGAAGGCAAGTTGTTCCACTAGTTAATTGTTCTCACGGTCAAGAAATTTCTCCTTAGTTCTAGGTTGCTTCTCTCTTTTGTTAATTTCCATCCATTGCTTCTTGTCCTGCCTTCAGGTGCTTTGCAGAATTTGTCCCAAGGGTGCTTTTTTCCCCAAGAGGCAAGTGGACCTTCTGGTTTTCTTTGAAGACGTTTCGCTTCTCATCCCAGAAGCTTCTTCAGCTCTGAATCCCAAAGTGCATAGCTAAATGCCTCTGGAGGTTCTCCATCACCCAGGTCATGGTTGTCCCAAAGGTGCTTTTTTTTTTTTTTTCAAGAGGCAACTGGGCTTACTTTGTTTTTCTTTGAAGACGTTTCACTTCTCATCCTAGAAGCTTCCTCAGCTCTTTGCGTTAAGCACCTTTGGGACAATCGTGACCTGGATGACTTAGAATCTCCATAAACAACCCCAGTATTTCTTTTCAAATTAATCCTTGATTTATGATTGGAATTATGGTTGTTGGCCATTAAGCAGGTCATCACAGTCCTGATTTTATGACCTGTCTTGTAGCAATAGTTAACTAATGCAGCAGTCATAAAGTGAGTGGAGATATCATTAAGTGAACACATTATGGCAACGGGGTTTTTTTTCTCCTGGAAACAGGAATTGACCACTGGTTTCCGGAAGAAACATAAAATTGCAATCATATGACCACAGGTCATTGCAAATGGCCATAAATACTGGCTGATTGACAAGCATTCCAGTCATGTGACCACATGGAAGGGGCTCCAGTCATTGGAACTTCGAATCTGGATCATGCGTACCTTTTTTGGGTGGGGTCCCTCTAATTTATTAATAATAGTTAAGAAATATTTATTTAAATTACTGCAGGGTTAGTTTTGGGGTGGTGATTATACCCTGGGCAATTACGTTATGTGTGCATCATTAGAATTTCAGATATGGTTTTATATATTTAGTTATTGCACTACATTTTTGTTCTGTGATGTTGAATTTTCTCCGTTCTGATCGTTGATTGGAGAAATCATTTTCTCTTATAAAGTCTTAAGTAGGCAGCCTCCTTTTAGACTTGCAAAGTTGGAAGGGGCTGTTCCAAGTTTCTTGGCCAAATGTAGTTTTGGAAGGAAAGGATTAAAGGGATAAAGGGATATGAGTCTCGGTGGCTAGAGTGCAGTACTGCAGGCTACTTCTGCTGATTGCCGGCTGCCTGCAATTTGGTAGTTCAAATCTTACCAGGCTCAAGGTTGACTCAGACTTCCATCCTTCCGAGTTGGGTAAAAGGAGGACCCAAAATTGTTGGGGGCAATAGGCTGACTCTGTAAACTGCTTAGAGAGGGCTGTACAACACTGTGAAACGGTATATAAGTCTAAGGGCTATTGCTATAATCGTATAGATCAGTTATGGATGAGCCAGTTTTGCTCTCGCTTGGAAGGATTGGCATAAATGGATTCCAGAGTCGGAAATCAAACAATTGTAGCACATAGAATGTGATATCTTGCTACATGGCTACATAAAAACTTTGATTCCTTAAAATGTGATGTTGCTTCTTTTAAATATACCAGAACCTTCACGGAACAACTGAGGAAAATATCCAGAGATGCAGGAATGCCCATCCAAGGTCAACCTTGTTTCTGTAAATATGCCCAGGGAGCGGACAGTGTGGAACCCATGTTCCGTCACCTGAAGAACACCTATTCTGGTCTGCAGCTTGTGGTTGTCATTCTACCTGGGAAAACTCCTGTTTATGGTCAGTCTAAGAGACCTACATGCCTCTGTCACCTTTTGCATTACTGTAAATCAACTTTGACCACTGGAAGATGTGTGGACTTCAACTCTGGGAGAATTCTGGGAATTGAAAGTCCACACATCTTCCAGTAGCCAAGGTTGAAAAATACTACTGTGAATATGTGATTTTTCACTATGATCCTCAACTTTTAAGGCACTTTTTTGAGATGGTTCTCTTTTTTTGCTGCCTCTCTATTTCTGTTATTAATTACTTTTCTACATTAACCTTGGAAATGTCTGACCTAGAACTCTCATCAAGTATAAGGCAATGCATGTTTGATAGCTTAGTGTGGTATTTTCTTCTAAAATGTCACAAGAAGAAAAAAATTACACATGTAATATTGAAACATACCTTATTGAACAGCCTTTTCCTCAAAGGCAGAAAGCTGCATGTGAAAATGCCAGAATTCTATCTATTTTAGAAGATAGTTGGATTGTAAAGAAATGATTGAAGGGTGGCATTATGATATATATCCAGATCAGCAGTTGTTACATCATAAATTCTTAGTGGTGGAAGATTAAATTTTACCCTTCATTTTGAACCTATCTGCCTCCCATCAACAACAGATGAAGAGGAATTTGAGTGCGTAGCTAATTAAGAACACGTCTTCTGGTTGAAAAATGTTTTTGAGGCACAGTGGTGCAGTGGTTAGAGAGCAGTACTACAGGGTACTTCTGCTGACTGGCGGCTACCTAAAATTTGGCAGTTCAAATCTCACCAGGCTCAAGGTTGACTCGGCCTTCTATCCTTCCGAGGTTGATAAAATGAGGAAACAAATTGTTGGGGGGAAAAAGGCTGATTCTGTAAACTGCTTCGAGAGGGGTGTAAAGCACTGTAAAGCGGTACATAAGTCTAAGTGCTATTACTATTTTGTGGGGGTGGACTTGGCAAAAAAAAATACCCCAATCAAGGAACTACCAACTTAGACAAGTTAACAGTAATTAACAGCCCGATAAAGGGACCACCAAGTCCACTTCTACCAACACTGACACTGCAAGCCACTAATATATAAAAAGAGCAATCCCTATTCACTTACTAGCACTGATGATGTAACCTAGTTTGGTAATGAAAAGTCTACAACAAAACAACCAAGCTTAGAGATTACCAACGACTCCTCATTTCAGCCCCAGGCTACAAATATTCCGTTCTCTAGAAAGATAGTTGTTATATGGCCCGTGGCCTTCTCCTTGATATCTCCTGCTTTATCTCAGAGGGGCATTATGAGAAGATACTGTAACAAAGGGATTATAGTTGGGGTTAAGCACTCTAAGTAGCTATCAGAGCCATTAGCTTGATCGGTTTAATAGCATCTCTTTTCATTTCTCTGACTCGGCAGCCGAAGTGAAGCGTGTCGGTGACACCGTGCTGGGAATGGCCACACAGTGTGTGCAGATGAAAAATGTGCAAAGGACTACCCCACAGACACTTTCCAACCTGTGCTTAAAGATCAATGTCAAATTAGGAGGAGTTAATAACATTTTATTGCCACAAGGAAGGTAAGAATTTTCAGGGTACGACTAAGTACCCCACTGGCCCTGTGCTGTTGGAGAAAGAAAGCAGCTCGTTCATGCATTCTGTTGGCCGAACAATTTGTGTAGTTATCCAATTTGCAGTTAATGTGCGATTTATTTATTTTCAAACAAATCCAAGCAAACAGTTCTGTTCAACAGGGAGTAATTTTATTCTGCGGCAATTAAAAAAAAAATCCGCTTGGTTTTTGTGGTTAGATCCTAATGAATGCCTTATAACAAGGCAGAATCCCAAACTTTTGAATTGTGTTTTGAAAGGATCAAGCTGGAAGTTGTGAAGGCCTCTTGTTTATATTGCCTCAAGCAACCCTCCCAGTTGTGACTAGTTTTGTGGCTGAAGGAGGGGAAGGCAAAATAATTATAAATTTCATTCATGGCCGGGCTGTTGAATAATACTTCAAGACTTAAACTATTACATGTTGTGTTTATACACTGCTCAAAAAAATAAAGGGAACACAAAAATAAGACATCCTAGATCTGAACGAATGAAACGTTCTTATTAAATACTTTGTTCATTACATAGTTGAATGTGCTGACAACAAACTCACACAAAAATGATCAATGGAAATCAAATTTAGCAACCCATGGAGGTCTGGATTTGGAGTTACACTCAAAATGAAAGTGGAAAAAAACACTACAGGCTGATCCAACTTTGATGTAATGTCCTTAAAACAAGTCAAAATGAGGCTCAATAGTGTGTGTGACCTCCACATGCCTGTATGACCTCCCTACAATGCCTGGGCATGATCCTGATGAGGTGGCGGATGGTCTCCTGAGGGATCTCCTCCCACACCTGGACTAAAGCATCCCCCAACTCCTGGACAGTCTGTGGTGCAACATGGCATTGGTGGATGGAGCGAGACATGATGTCCCAGATGTGCTCAATTGGACTCAGGTCTGGGGAACGGGCAGGCCAGTCCATAGCATCAATGCCTTCGTCTTGCAGGAACTGCTGACACACTCCAGCCACATGAGGTCTAGCATCGTCGTGCATTAGGAGGAACCCAGGGCCAACCGCACCAGCATATGGTCTCACAAGGGGTCTGAGGATCTCATCTCGGTACCTAATGGCAGTCAGGCTACCTCTGGCGAGCACATGGAGGACTGTGCGGCCCCCTAAAGAAATGCCACCCAACACCATTACTGACCCACTGCCAAACTGGTCATGCTGGAGGATGTTGCAGGCAGCAGAACGTTCTCCACAGCATCTCCAGACCCTGTCACGTCTGTCACATGTGCTCAGTGTGAATCTGCTTTCATCTGTGAAGAGCACAGGGCGCCAGTGGTGAATTTGCCAATCTTGGTGTTCTCTGGCAAATGCCAAACGTCCTGCACGGTGTTGGGCTGTAAGCACAACCCCCACCTGTGGATGTCGGGCCCTCATACCACCCTCATGGAGTCTGTTTCTGACCGTTTGAGCAGCCACATGCACATTCATGGCCCGCTGGAGGTCGTTTTGCAGGGCTCTGGCAGTGCTCCTCCTGTCCCTCCTTGCACAAAGGCGGAGGTAGCGGTCCTGATGCTGGGTTGTTGCCCTCCTACGGCCTCCTCCACGTCTCCTGATGTACTGGCCTGTCTCCTGATAGCGCCTCCATGCTCTGGACACTACGCTGACAGACACAGCAAACCTTCTTGCCACAGCTTGCATTGATGTGCCATCCTGGATGAGCTGCACTACCTGAGCCACTTGTGTGGGTTGTAGACTCCGTCTCATGCTACCACTAGAGTGAAAACACCGCCAGCATTCAAAAGTGACCAAACCATCAGCCAGAAAGCGTAGGAACTGAGAAGTGGTCTGTGGTCACCACCTGCAGAACCACTCCTTTATTGGGGATGTCTTGCTAACTGCCTGTGCTTTCCACCTGTTGTCTAATCCATTTGCACAACAGCATGTGAAATTGATTGTCAGTCAGTGTTGCTACCTAAGTGGACAGTTTGATTTCACAGAAGTGTGATTGACTTGGAGTTACATTGTGTTGTTTAAGCGTTCCCTTTATTTTTTTGAGCAGTGTATAACAATTTGAATGGGCAAGAGGGGAAAGAAAATGTCCTGTTGGCCCTCATAGTATGCTACTTTACAGTTTAACCATGGTTTATTGACAGCACTCTAATTTGACTTGTCAGCTAGGAACAACTAGAGCATATAACACTAGAAATACTTAGAAATTAAGTAATCTGAACTTTAATGGGCAACAACATTTTGAATGAGTCTGAAGATCAGCTACTGATCAACTGATGCAAAGAATCTGAGGAGAAAGGAATATTAGGTATATTAGCCACCTTGAGTTATTTATCAAACTAATAAAGGCAACAAACGAACAAACAATCATGCTCTAATTTTTTTGGGGGGGAGGAGGTTTCTAAACAACTGGCCAGCTACATTCTCCACTTGTAGCTTCTGGGCCACTTTGAAAGAGAGTCCCATATCACTGCCATTCCTTTTGTTTAGGAATAAGTTGGAAACGGATGTAGGAATTGTAGGCATCCCAGATCTGTTACAGCTCCCAGTGGTCTCCATTGCTGGCTATCGTTCCGTAATGCACCAGCAGCTCTCCATCCATAAGCTGGAGCATGAATGACTTGCAAGGTTTGCTTTCCTCAAAACAACTCTTAAAAGCTGGTTAAAAAAATAATGGCTCCTCTGTCATTTATTTCTGAGCCCAGGAGAAACCTCTGGTTTCTATGCCAAAGTGGCCCAGTGGTTAGAGTGCAGCACTGCGGGCTACTTCTGCCAACTGCTGGCTGCCTGCAGTTGGGCAGTTCGAATCCCACCAGGCTCAAGGTTCCCGTCCTTCCAAGGTGGCTAAAATGAGGACCCAAATTGTTGGGGGCAAGAGGCTGACTCTGTAAACCACTTAGAGAGGGCTGTAAAGCACTGTGAAGCAATATATAAGTCTAAATGCTATTGCTATCATATTTTAACCTTACTCAGCACCAGTGGTAGCCCTCCTTACAGATTTTTCTATCGTGAGTCCTGATGGAAAGGTCACTTTGATGATCCCCATGTCTCTGAAATACGATCACCAAGAAGAAAACCCAGGAAAACTAACTGCACCTCTCTCTCCAGGTCTACTTATGGCTTTTTGGTAGCAGCCTCCTGCGGTGTTTGTGTCAAAACAGCTTGTAATGGGGCTTGATTGGAGGCTTGGCCAAACAGAGTTATGAAAAATTCCATGCAGGCATCTTCACCAGGGCTGGCTGGAGCTACGTCTCTGCAAAATAACAATAAAACTTTGTATTGCTTGATTCTTTTCAGCTTAAAAGAGAAGTCTTAATATAACAGAGGTATAAAAAGTCATTACAGGTAGTCCTTAATTCATAACAGTTCATTTAGTGACTGTTTGAAGTTGTTGGCAATATTGACTTATGACTGTTTTTTTTTTTTTTTGCAAATCTCCACGGCGACATGATCAAAATCTAGCTCCTTGGCAACTGACTCATCTTTTTACGACGGTTTGAGTGTCCCGGGATCACGTGGTTCCCCTTTTGTGACCTTCTGACAAGCAAAAGTCCACAGGGGAGCTAGATTCACTTAACCACTGGGGCAAGAAAGGTCGTAAAACGGGGCAAGATTCACCTAACAAATGTCTCACTTAGCGACAGCAATTTTGGGCTGAATTGTTGTCGTAAGTTGAGGACTACCTGTAATGGTGTAGAAATTAGAGGCGTTACAGGATTCAGAGTACAGGTTTTCCTCGACTTTAAACCACAATTGGGACGGTAATGTCTGTCTCTAACCAAGGTGAGTTGCACCCCATTTTACAGCCTTTTTAAATTGCATTTCTTAACTGAGTTACACAATTGTTCAGCAAATCTGCCTCCCCACGTTACTTCGCTTGTAGGAAACTAGCTACAAAAGTTGCAAATGAAGTTTATGTGACACCCTCGACCCCACCCCCCGGAACATTGCAACCATCGAATACATGACAGTTGTCAAGCATCTGAATTTTGATCATGTGATTGCAGAGACTTTGTAACTTTGAATGGTTGCTAAAGGAATGCTGGTTAAGTCAAGGTCTAACTGTACTTGGAATTAGGCAAATTTCACCCAGCTAGATTGTCCCTAGCTACAGTGGTGATGGTTGTCCATAAGCTCTCAATCTATCAATCTCTCTCAAATAAATATATTTTATATATTTTATATACTCTGATGCTAAGGAGTTCTACTTTCCTTCCCCACCTGAAAGGAAATCTGCTCCAAATGCAAAACAAAACCAGAGGAGAGGAGTTTCAGTTTCACAACACCAAGCAGCTTTAGTGCAGAACAGTTGAGCTAAGCCACACCCAGGCTCCTTGCTGTCTCCTTGCTCACACAGCAAATACTGTTTCAGTTTCCAAACAGCCTCACACACTGACAGGATGCTAGCCAGATGAATACCGATGGATGCTGGTAGGCAGAGGCAGAATCCCCCCCACCCCCTTATTTTCCTCCCCATAAACTAAGCCCGACCACATAGTTTCGTAGCGAATCACGGGGATCGAGCTAGTCTACAGATATATGTACTTTAAATGCCAGCTGTTGAGAATCACAGGAAGGCTACGCATTTCTGTTGCTGTTTATAAGCTCTCTCAGTCCATGCGGTTGGCCATTTGAATTCTGCAAGTTTTGGGGCCCAGCCTGATCCTGCTGAGCTCTTACTGGGTTCTTCTATTGAGAAGTTACGTTATTGCATCACCTTGCACAGATGGGCCGAGCAAGAAATGCCATGGATGCTTCTAAGCCTTGGAACCACCCAGGTCCAAGGTAGAGAGATGGTGCCCAACACCCTTGGACCCTTCCATCAGATGGAAACATGCTGGCCAAGCAGAGTTGTGTAACGGGTGCTCTGTCGTTTCCTGGAGAACACGCAAAGCTAAGCTTGCCTCCTTGGTTGCGTTTATATAAAATATTTGTTATGCTCCCCCTTCATTTAGGCCTCCGGTATTTCAACAGCCTGTCATCTTCCTTGGTGCTGACGTCACTCATCCACCAGCTGGAGATGGGAAAAAGCCATCTATTGCTGCTGTGAGTAAAAGAGGCATTTATCGCCTGGATTTTCTTTCTGGTTTTTTTTTTTAACTAGTAATTATTATTCAAAACATTACAATACAAGTTCCAGAAAGGAAAAGGAAAAAAATACAAAAAGAAAAATTAGAATGTTAAAAAATGAGCATTAAAAAAAAAAACCAAAAGACAAAAAACACATATATTTCCCCTCCTGGTTGAATACTGCTGGATATATTGCAACAATCTTAGTTTTGTCTGCATTTTCATTCTTGTATCCGTATTTGATCTGACATTATTTTTCCTACTTAACCATCTTTCTTTTCC